GCGGGCGGGCGAGGAGGAGCGCAGCGCTCGGCGAATGCGGGGGGAGAGCGCCGGGACCCTGGAAGCGAGGCCGGGAGGCAGAGAGCGGGGCCAGGGTGGGAGGCCGCGGCTGACGGGCGGCAAAGCCAGAGAAAGGGCCAGGGAGCGCGCCAGAAGGAGAGGGAGCGGAAAGGGCGGCCAGGCTGCAGCCGACCCAGTGACTGGCTCACGCGCTCATGGTGTGGACAGGACGGGAGGGCAGGATGGGGTCGAGGAGGAAAAAAAGAAATCTGCGTGCAACCAGGAGCAGTAATAAATCAGAAAGAGAGGCCCAAGGCATTGCAGGGTGGAAATGCACTCCCCGGGAGCAAACCAGGACGGGTTGGAAGGCAGAGACTGGGAAAGTGGCCCCCCAAATGGAACAAAGGACAATGTGTGTGTGGGTGTCTTTGCAGCCAGGCGTGTGGACTGGGTGGGTATTATGGGTGTGCATGTATGCACGTGCGAGCATGACCTTCTTTCACTCCCACGGGGTTAAGGGAAGAGGTCATAGCACAAGGGACATAAGGGTAAAGGCTTTTCAGGGGAGGACTGGCTGGAAGCAGGATGGGAGTGGGCGGGGTGGAAGTGAGTTGAGGAAGAATCAAGAAAAATGGGGTGAGCGATGGGGAGAGTGTGAGTGGGCAGTCAGCAGACTCGTGCAGCTCGGAGGTGCCTAGTCTGAGAAAGGCCGAGCGCTTGGCCCAGCGCGGCCGCGACGCGGCGGCCGAGGTCAAAGGCGCAGGGACCAGGCGGCCGCTCTGGCTCTGCGCACGCAGGTGGGCCCGGCCCTGCACGGACGAGCCCCCCCTAGGCGCTTGCTCTGGTCCAGGCTCTGGCGCGCATAGAGTCTTGAATTTCCTCTGCTGTACCTGCACTCCACAAGTTCACCCCGGTCACGGATATCTCATTTTTTAAAATGACGAGGTTAAGGTTCCTGATGAGGATGGTGTTACATTGCGCGAGCTAGGGTTTGAGGGGGGTGATGGTGATGGTGGTAGTAGTGGGAAAGCTTCTCTGAAATCCACATTTCCGTCTAAAAAGTGATGAGCGTGTGAATGAAGAGGGACCTTTCTCACTCAGAAAGTGAGCCTTCCTTCTGAACCCTGGTTTTCCGATTTCTCTACTCAAGCCAGGACACGAGGATTTTCGTAAGGAGCTAGATATTTTTGTTCGGTTCTGTCTTTGAGTGGAAGGGTTATAAATACGCTTCGCCTGCAGGACCAGGTGCGAAGGCGTCTGCCAGGCATATGGGACGAAGTTCTTTCAATCTCAAGGACGTCCTGTTAAATGTATGTTTTCTGGAGAGTGTGAGAAAGAGCTGCTGGACTCGGGTTTTCCCACCAATATTAACTCCTGCCAGGGCGCAAAATTCAGCTGGGCCCACCTCGTTTGTTCCTGACAGAGAATAAAGTCCTCTCTAAAAAGTTGTATTGCTCTTTCTTAATCAATACACCAATTGACGGGATTAAAGGAAAATAAAATAGCTTGTGTGGACTTCATGTATGAAATCTATACATTACTGAGGGGCGGGGAGAGAAGTTGGCGTTTAAATAGAATCGGATCACTAAGTAGGTGCAGAGCTTTCCCTACACTTGAGGGCTGTCTGGTATATGTTATGTGTTTTCTTGAATTACTCCGTGTTTTGAATTCATTTGAGTTAGTAGTAAAAACAGGCAAACAAACTTGCTCAATTTGTTTTGAGTGCTAAATCCCTTTACTTTGAAATAGCTAACAGTCGACAGATGGACTCATTTTATGGAAAGGGTTGGCCTCTTCAGCCACGGAGAAAATTGACGTGAGATCTACATTTTTAAGCCATTTCTAACCTCTCTGCAACATCCATGAAAGCGCAAACTTTCTTTACCGATTGGAAACTAAAGAGAGTTTTTATTTAAGGGAGAAGAAATGAGGGGGAAAGTGCCATGTGCTGGTTTTATTTTTGTTTTTTGTTTTTTTGTTTTTTTTTACTTTTAAAATTTCTGGTGTCTGAAATCTTGCCGAGGCAAGAAAATAAAATTTCTCCAACAGATCCCATAACTGAACTCGTAAGCCACATCAGGCTGGAAAATGTAGTCTGAATTTTCATTTCGATTCACCAATGTTTAAATTAGAATTCTGCTGCCTTCTTCCTCTCTGATAAATGGGCTAATGTTCCCCCCTCTTTTTTCCCTTTTCATTTCATATAGATTAAGAGACTTTCCTAGCAGAACGGCCTCACCTTCAGTTGGTAACAAGGATGGGGGAAATCTCTTCCAGAAAGTAGGGAAAAGGGGAAAAACATCACAACGTGAGATTCAGAGTTGGTGACAAGACATTTGGAAGAGAGAGAGAGAGGGGCTGCTCTGGAAAGACCCTCAGTCAGAGGCTTGTGACCCCCACTCTTCCAGAATTCAGAGGTTTGCAGACCAGGCAAGGTGAAGGGGCTCCTGGAAGCTCCTGTTCCTTCGCCTCCCTTCTGTCTGGAAATGTGCCGGCTGAGGGCTGGTTAACCCCTGTCCAGGCCGCCACAGACACCGCGTTGAGCTTTTGGGTCCTCTCCTCTGCCAGGGCCAGTGCAGCTGAAGTGAGCAGCTGGTGGGAAATGCAAATGGCTCCTGGAGAAATAGAAGATACAGAATGATTCTCATTCCCTCCTCTACTGTGTGGAAGGAGCTGGACATACGTTTCACGCTCCTAATCCTTCTTTTACATTTTTAGTCATACTCCTATTAAACAACTAATTAATGCCCAGAATCACCAGGGAATACATTAGGTATGCAGCGAGGAGGTTGGGTGCTGGGGGGCTATAAACCCTGGAGCTGATTTAAGATGGAGATTTCAGGTTTTCACTGTGTTAGGACAGTATTGGAAGAGAGGGTGATGTGGATTGTATGGAGATTCTGATTACCTCAAATTAGGGGGGGAGGCGGCATACCAGTAAAGCAAACAATTCCCTGACTTGCAGATGTAAACAAGATTGTAGCATCAAAGATAGTAGCTCCAGATCTCCTGGCTAGGAGCCTGGGGTGGGAGACACTGACCTTCTCTATCTGTGAATTTCAAGGGTGTTTTACTTTCATATAAACAATTGCAAACTACAATGGGAATATCCTGGTAATCTGGTGAGAACCACAGGTTCTAAAATATCTTAGAGAGGGGAAAATCACCAAAGCACACATCCTTTATATTTTTTCCAATAATTTAAGTTACGTTCACAGATCTATTAAGTCACACAGTCCACTGGATCATTTCTCAGCCATTTCTCCTGTCTTTTCCGCCGTCTGATTTCATTTGTGAAGGGCACAGGGGAGAGGCTTGATCTCAAATAGTGAAGGGCTGGGGAAACGGGTTCAGAGATTTTTCAGGGAAGATTCTGAATGATATCCCCCACTCCCAGTATTTTCAAACAAGTGACAGAACTGCGAGAACGAGAATCAAAATTCGAAGCTCAAGGAGGAAGGAAAATTTTGGGTGAATAAATGCAGGGCACGACCCGGAAGACGCGTAGAATGACCTCTGACAAATCCCTTTTCCTCAGCAGCTAGGGTTTGGGAAAGGTGCAGAGTTCTGGAGAGCGCGCGGCCCGGCCGGCCTACGTCCTACCATTGACTTTCTTCGCTCTGGATTATCATCGCAACCCTAGCAAGCAATTTGCCCAGCTCCTTATCTGACAACAAGCGAGTATGTAAATACCAATGGCCAGCGATGTTTAACTGCCTCAAACATTATTGATTTGTTGGCTTTTCCAAATTTTCTTTCCAATTCAGATCTTTGCTTTCCAATTGTCTGTTCACGAGGTTTGATCCTTGCCTCCGACGCTACAATACAATTACTGTTTAAAAAAATTAAGATGAACCAATTGATTTGCATATAAATTAAAATCACTCTGCGTTGCTTATGCCAGTGTTTTATAATCATTTCGAAATTAGTACTTAACTACTTGAGCTAAAAAAAAAATATATAAATGTCTGTATTGACTCACTAATGAATTACCTAATTAAAACGTCCCAGGGATGTTGGGCGCTGGACAGATTACTAAATCAAGACGTATTAGGGGAGGGATGGGGATCGCGAGGCCAACAGACAGTGAGAACTCAGGAGCCTCGGCCCCTCACTTGTGTTGTTCTTGGTTTTGTCCTTGTTTGTAAATAAGTGAAGTGGACGGAGCGCTTGGATTCCCGCCGGCCTTCACGCCCTCGGCTTTTACGGGGACCCTGCAGCTCTCACCCAGAAGCTCTGAAGCCGGGAAAAAGCTGGGCTAGGCCGGGAGTGTCTGGCAGGGCGGGCCGCCAGGCCAGGATTCCCTGCTCTGGGCAAAGGAGCCGCTGAGCGCTCACGGCGCGATCTGAGAGCCGGAACCAGAGATGCCTTTTAATAGATATGCTAACCGAGCACTTACCTTCATCCTGAGAATAGGAATAAAAAGTAGCTCTTCTGAAGAGAGGCGGTGCAAAGGCACGCTAGGAGTTCAGAAAAGGCTGGCGGCGGGAAATCTGTAGCCTGGGGGCTAGCCAACATCCCCTTTCATTTCAAGCACTATTGATTTGCTGTTGTCATCTTTGGCGACGCAGAAGGACACTTGAAAGAATTTCTGATGGGGCTCTGATCTGAGAAGGGAGGTGACCTGCCCAGGCTCCCACCAAATTCTTAATTACCACATCAACTGCTTTTTTATCCTCCACCCTTACCTCCTTCCCCCATGGCAACTGAGTTTGCTAATTCTTAACTTTTTAATTATTCTGAAACTTTCCTACCTCTCAGTGGCTTCCTTTCGGTACCAGTTTTCCATGAAAATCTTCCCCCCCCCTTCCCCTCTCAGTGATAGGGCCTGTATATTGATCCCTCTGACCTTT